AGTAGGGTAGGTAGTAGTAGGGTAGGTAGTAGTAGGGTAGGTAGTAGGTAGTAGGTAGTAGGTAGTAGGTAGCAGGTAGTAGGTAGTAGTAGGTAGTAGGTAGTAGATGGCCAGGGACACAGGATCAGATTAATAGGGGGTAGTAGTGCAGATTATTGATGGGGGACCGGCCCTTGTGAGGGGTACCCTTTGTGAGCTTGTCAAATGATTGTTTTTAATTGTTTTTTAATAAGGCAATTTATAGGCCCTGAGCCCTAGACATTTTAAAGGATTTCATCAAACAGCAGCAGCAGCAGCAATAGCTACAGCAGTAGCTAGTAGCAGTAGCAGTAGCAGCAGCAGCAGCAGGAGTAGTAGTAGCAGTAGTAGTAGTAGCAGCAGCAGTAGTAGTAGCAGCAGTAGCAAGTATAATGTCAAGTCAGGATAAATAAACCTCCACTAGTTAACCCCTTATTAAAAGTAATATTACTTTTTTGGATCGTGTAGGCTCGGATTAACTGGGGGGGGTTGTTGGTAGAAAATTAGACAATAGGGGGGGAAATCAACAGCGAATAATACTTTTAATTTGGGCAATTTCCGGCGGCTTTGTGGGCTCGGATTAACTAGGGGAGGTTTATTAATCCTGACTTTGCATTATAAGTGAAGATGTCCGACATCCAGCGGCTTTGGCAGCTTTGTTTTGAAGATATCGGTAGCAATTGCGTATCAGAAAAAAGATTACTGCAAAGCTGCCAAATCTCTGAACTCGGACGAGGGCATCTTGCTGGAAGAACCAATGAAAAACCTTCGCAGGACTGCTTTTGGTCACTTTCTGCAAGCGATCCGTCCGGAACTGAAGTCACAACAAACCAGACATGAGAAAGAACATTGACACCAAACCAAGAACCGAGCATTTGCGCATAGGCACTGACGCACTCACCACACCTTGGTATGCGGCCTCTTTTGAGGCCAGCATGCGATCTCCATCTCTCCACCTTCGTCCTTCCAGAATGAGATTCAAGCTCAGATGCAATCCGAATCTGAATTTCTTTGCATTCGAAAACGGCGTTTGTTTAGATCATTCAAGCATAGCATAGCATTGCATAGCATTGCCATGTGAATCTGAAAAAGAAACACCTCTTTTGGCTTCCTGTAGAAAGACAATCTCACAGACGTCACTGACGGGATGCTGTTATCCCAAAACAAACGTATATCCGACATCAATGTATGGAACACCTCGCGCATGTTTTTTGGACGACGCGATGTCCAAACGGACTCTGAGGTGTTATTGGATCTGCAGTTTCAGCAACAATCAGTGGAAGGTCGATGAGGCCGCTCCAGGGCGCCGAGCTGCGCTTTCTTTCCTTCTCGCCGCGAGCGAAACGCGATGCGTTGGCAAGTACGTGGTGCGTCAGGAGATCGGGGACACGTGGGATGAATCTTCGTTCTACTTGGCCATGCGATCCAATGAGTGCCTGGCACCCCAGCGGTTGAATCGTGACTTCGACAACGAGAGAAAATAGCTATTATTATTAATGAAAGAGGATCCGACAGCGAGAAAGCTGTAAGATACGCTCTCCCAATGCATGGCTGCTCAGGTCAAGGTACAGCAATGGTCTTTGACGACCAGGCGGTCACCTTGACTAGAGCTTGGTATCTTGGCAGCCAGTCTCCGCATTGAGAATTGTGTCTTGATTTGCGTGATCAGATGCCAACGGTCAACGACAGCGTTAAATCAAGAAATTGGGAACTCAACTCCGCAACTGGTTCCCGCCCATGGGAACTGAAGAATATGTACATTACCACATGTTTGGTAGACTGTGTAGACTCTGTAGACGCTCCGGGTTGTCTTCCCTCCGGCTTGTTTCCGGCGGCGCGGCGCGGTCCGAACTCCGACATCTGAGGTGTCTCTTCGAACTCCTCCAGACCGAACGCTTGAGTCTGCAGACCATGTGGGGCGAGAAGTGGTGATACCGACGGATCGACGTGTTTTTGCTCGGAGTCGGAGTCGGACGGAGTCTCCAGTCGATGAGTCGTTCAAGGGGGTTGCAGTCCGACACGGTGAGGTGTAGATTAAAAGATTGACCGGGCCATGAAGAGACATGAAGACTTGAAGACATTGGTCAGTCATGAAGATTCACAGAGCCATGTTACAAGAGCGACTTGGTGGTTTCAAACCCATCGGTACCGGTCCTCCACGACAGCCGTGGGCGATCGTGGTCGCCATGGGCGAAAAGCGCCCCGCGAACCTTGACGCTGAGGCATGGAGAGGACCAGCTACCAGGGCCTGATGATTTGCACTGGGTCCGCGAGCTGCATTTCTCGTGTTGTTTTGCATTTGCTTTGCATTTTCAAGATCTTTTTGTTGCAGAAATGATGCTGGAACTGTACGACTCACATTTAAACATTCTTAGCACGACATGTCAACGCCCTGAGAAGCCGAACATGTTCCACGCATTTGGTTTGCTTGATTCCAGGCAAGGGATCATGAATCATGGTGCCGGAAGCCTGGACTTGGCGATGAATGTCACCCTGCGCCTTGCGAACCTTCGTCTACAGGATGCACAGGCCACCAAGGCGTCCCGTCCGTCGATCCCGTCACGTCCGCCGTCACGTCCGCGTCACGTCCGCGTCGCATCGCCGCGCGTCACGTCCGACAGGACCTGGACAAGGAGATGATCGACGGCCTCGAAGCTCGGCACCAGATGGACGGAGCCGAGTAGCGGAGGAGAGGAAACTCTGGTGGTTGACGTGGTGCTTTGGAATTCACCAATTGATCCCCTGAAGTTGGACAAGAGCTCGCTGGCGACTTTGCTGAGGTGTTGAACAGTGGTGGCTTTGAGAAGGTCAATGCTTTTCTCATCCAGACACTCAAAAAGGTGCGCCAAGTTTGCCGATGGAGGGGTTCATAATTAGTAGAGCAACCACTTTTGTTCATTCTTCACTACTACTAGTGGTCTACGTGTTCTATTTGTTTGTCCAACATCAGGATTCGCCGGTGAACGAGATAAGGCCCCCACATAAACACATAAACAATATACATTTTTGATGACACTATAGTAGTCTGAAGGAGATACCGTGACATGACCTCCTACTTAAGTTGTCTAAAGAACATATGAAATGGCCCCCACATGTGTCTTAAAAGTGTTGCCATGTTGCTTTTGCTTTTGGACACTTCCTCTCTACTTGGAGCTGTTGCACATGATGCGAACATGATGTCGGCCAAGTTCGCATCGGAAGTGATCGGATGGATCTCGAATGACATCGATCTCGCGAGGCGCTGAAAGCTACTCAGATGCGTGTGCGGGAGACTGCGGGGCTTGGCGGATGATCTCGGTTGAGTCGGCGTGCTTTCACCAAACGATATGACAGGTCGTGCAGATCTGACTCGGTTTGAGCAGCAATTGCACTGTAGCCCTGTTTCAAGACCTCGGTTTGCATGTAGAATTTAATTTACAACATATTTTTACGTACGTAATATGATGTCAAACAGTTGAGACATCAACAGATCTACTCAATCCAATTATACTTTTCTCATGCAGACATTGCATACAGTTTCTTGCACCCTCTCCAGCATCGGAGCACTCCGGCTCAGAGTTCGCGAGTTCGTTCTCGTGTTTTGCGTCCCGTCTTGAGTGGTCAATCTGCGACTGGAATACATGTGGCGCATGCGTATACTACATATATTACCTAGCGTTTCCAAAGGGTGCCCAATGGAGATCCCTAGGTAGTGTGGGGGCTTCCATTGGTGACCCCTTTGAAGGTGCTGGTATATTGATCTCCTTTTTTCATCCACCACAATAGTTGGTAAATATGCGGCCATTCGTGTTGGATCGCTGTGCAGGACGATCTGGAGTCGGTGAGAGCCACTCTGTCCGTCGCCGAGCTCCGAAGCAGCACTCTGAGGCCGGGTCGGATACGCATAACAAGGCTCCTCGTTCTTTTTGGAATCCCCAAGAACACTTTCTTGATAGCTAGGAACTCGTCTTCAACTCTTTTCTTGAACGGGCAGAAATTTGAGCCTGAATGAGGGTCCAGGTGGTCGCTGCTATAGTCCGTCAAACCCGGAGAGCCACCCCTGACTGAATTGAACAGCCCTCAACACCCCTTGGTTTGCTGCCTCGAATGAGGAAGAGCTGCAGCAGCAAGTCGTCTGCCTCACCCGTGAAACCTGGCCTCCGGCGATCGCAAAGCTTGAACTACCAGAAAGTGCGCTCCAGACAGAAACTCAGATATTGGAGTTCCAGAGCGCTTTCCGCTGATGCCCATACCGCCTCCACTTCTTTGTCTTCGAATCATGGGAAGAGCTACTCCTCAAAGCCATCCGCAGTGTTATTGGGTGCTTCAAGCTCCTGTGGGCCTCAAAAGATTGACTCATTGTCTTCGCACTGCAGGCGCTCCCGTTCTTTTTGTGTCTGTTTTTCCTGGTTTTTGGATGAGGAGCCGCAGTTCGCGTCGCTGGCGTCCCTCCAAAAGAAGATCAGCTGGATTTTGGTTTCTTCGACTTACATGTGTTTTGCACCAGACAGTCTAGGGAAAATCCGGAGACCAAGGGACGAGACAGAAGCAGACAAGTGTTGCTTGCTGCAGGGTGCCAAGCTCTGACACGGCCTGGTCGGCTCTAGCCTTCTCTGAGAAGGCCCGTGACTCTTCGTTACTTCGTTGCAGAAAC